GTCTATAATAAAAACTCCGGGCCCGAAGCGGGGCACTGGTTTATACCTTAAGTGCTATCAATGAATTTCCGAGCCCGAAGCGGGGCACGTGCCCCCTAACCTCCCTTAGATCCTCCACTGTAGCTATATATATTGAGGATTTGACTATCTTCAAAATGAAATATAAAATAAAGCATTAAATTAATAAAAACAGGGTTTGAATCTGCATTAATTGATTAAAATGGTCAAGAGTGACATAGATTTGTCCATTCTAGCTAATCATATATATAGTAGCATGAATAATACGGAGTGGATGATAAGTTTGGGCAGATTTTGGTCCCTCAAAAGTTAGATTGAATGGGAATGTTTAAATCAAGAAAAATTTAAAACTAAAAGGATTTAAATTAGTAATTGCTTGGATTTGTGTCGATATTGTTGTATATGTGTGAGCTAGACTGAGTTTGTCTCTTGGCCCTGGGCAAATTATACCGTGGGATCGGCCACCTTCCGCATGGTGTGCCGATCCCACTTTTATCAAGTTACGTTGTTTTCTTTTCTTCCTAGAGCTTCTTCCTTCCCTTTTTTTGCTATTCTTTATTTATTTTTCTTTTCTTCAATTCTTCTCCATTTTCATCAAATTAAAATGTTAAAAATTTAATTGCAGTTTTAATTTTTTTTATCTTCAATTTAAATTATAATTGAATTTATTTTTTTATTCTTTATCAATACATAACAAAAAGTTTAATAATCTAAATAAGATAAGTACATTGCATTTCATATTCATACACTATTTTTTGTAATATCTTTTTATATTCATATATTTTTTTGTAATTTATTTTTATATGCATACATTCAATATTTTTTATTGAATTTGTTTATTTTGATTCTAGTTTGGGTTACATTTGATAATATACGAAGTTACATCATCTTATACTCAAGTTACATGTTATTATGCGTGAGTTGCATCTTGTTATGCGTGAGTTACATCTTCTTATGCGCGAGTTACATACTTTTATGCGCGAGTTACATCTAATTATTTGTGATATTTTACTTATCCTTATCTTGAACTAATTAAATTCTAACTGAATTAATTTTTTTCTTTACCAATTTAATACAAAATTTTATTTATTCACATAAAATAAGTATATTGTATGTCATATTCATACACTATTTCTTACTTTGTATACTTTTTTAATGTTTATTAAACACTTTTTTTGTAAAATATTTTTTACATTCATGTACTTTTTTCTATAATATATTTCTCATCTCTTTTATATGTTTTTTGTGTTTTATAGACATTAAGGCTGTTTATTTCGATTTAAATTTGAAAAAATATGAGAATAATACATTTTTCGTATGTGTGAGTTATATTTATAGACAATTTCTATAATTAAATTTGATATTATATGGAGTTACATCTCCTTATGCACGATTTACATCTTCTTGTGCGTGAGTTACATCTTTTTATACACGAATTACATTTGAGTTTTCCTTAACAAGATACATTTTGAGGCCGTTTGGCAACCCTCATTTTCGGCTTATCAGGCTTATCAGCCAACTTTTTTACCAAACACATAAATTTTGCTTTCGCGCGCTGAATTGTGTAATAAGCCGAAAAAGTAAGGTTGGAGTTACTTTTCTGGCTGTATTGGCTGAAGTTACTGTAGATGACCATTTTAGCTATTTTTACATATAATTTTTTCTTTATTTTATTAATAAAATATATTTTAAAAATATTTTTTTCTTGTATCAGCAGAATCAGCCAATGCAGCCACTTCAGCCAGAACTTCATAAATTTCAGCAGAATCAGCCAGAACAGCCGATTTTCATGCTACCAAACAGGCTCTTTAATTTGCATACACTAAAGTTAGATTTTCAATCAACGCGAGTTACATTTTCTTTAATACGAATTACATCACAACATAAAGCCTACTATTGAAACAAAAGAATCGTTGTTATGCAAAAAAATAAATGTTTCCAAAAAAATATGTGTTTTGGAAAAAAATATATTATGAAAATAATTTTATGGACTTAATATTAAAAAAATATATTTTCACCATTTATGTTAACCCTTGCTATTAAATAAAAAAAATCACTTGTTTTTTACAAAATCAAAATGAGTTTTTGGCCAAAAAATGATTTTTTGGCAAAAAAGATAAAAAAACATTTTTATGTCCTTAATACTAAAACAAAACATATAAACTATTTAAATAAAGTAATTGAGCAATTAGACTCCTTGTTTTCATTAAAATCAATGTTTTATTTCTTATAATTCGTATTAGACAAGTTACATTTCAACTTGCTTGTTGTTACATTTCTTATTAGCGTGAGTTACATTTTGTTACACGCGAGTTACACCTATTCCGCTACTGGGACAATGAAAAAAAAATGAAGTTACTGTTCACGCGTGTGAACGGTAACACGTTTTTTTTCTGTGGAAGCAGCATGCTCACCGTGGGCTGCTCCCACGGTATACGAACTGTTAAGTTTCAATAAGAAAATTTAAGTCGGGATACTAGTCCAATTAGTAATAATAGCACTTACTAAAAATAATACTCCGTAATAGTCATAGCATAGTAGTAACAAAAGCATCAATAATAATAATAATAAGCAAATATCACGTCTCTACCTTTTACCAAAATTCTCTAGTTTGATCAGGTGTTTTGTTTGTTGTTTTTATTGAGCCATGATATATATGATTCAATATTCTTTGTATTGTCATTTTTATTTACTATATATATACGTTGATGTATCTATGATTAAATTAAAATAAGTTATTAATATAAAAAATAATGATAAATATATGACTGAAATAAAAGTAGTGAACACAAATGGGAATTAGTGATTATCATAGTAACAAAATTTTAGTGAGCATGACTGTGTTCAAGTCTACCAATATAGTGATTGTGTATAATAACTATAGTTATATTTTTGTCCATTTGTTATATTTTGTTAATGTCTATGAAAAAACGTCTCATTATAATTATCAAAAAATAATGCGGGTATATTAATTAATTGTAGACTTATCAATATAACTCGATACGTGTTTATTTAATGTTATTAAAAGGTTATTATTTTTTAAGTATTATTTATTATTTTAAAACTAAAATAAGAATTATTGAGAAGTTTTAATAACGAATTTAAGGTGTTCTCTATTTTTGGTATCATAATTTGTAGTTGTGCCAGTTTCCTTCACAACTGAAAAGGTGGAATCATCCTAGATGCTCTCATAGTGTTAAATCCCACCCGAAATGTTTGAGTCAACGAAGTGCTATGTTAAGACATGTGTTACTCCTCCTATCAGGTTAATCTTTTAGGATGGAACTCCAGATCTTAACATGATATCAGAGCCAAATCGATCCATGGTGTGAGCTCCCTTATGAAAAATGATTGACCTTTTAGGATGAAACCCCAGATTTTAACACATACCTTGACAGCTTGACTTGATAGAATAATAGAAAAGTAAATCACGATATCATCTTAAACAATTTTTAAATGATCTGATTCAATTCAGGATATGTTGTGTACAAGGAGCCACTACATTATACTACATCTGTTCTCTTTTGATTGCAACATTGGACTTTTGCAATATTTACATATTTTACTTTCATTGTATTTTATTTATTAATGTATTATAGATAAGATTACAATTTTGTTTTTTTTTACAATTCCTCTCATTTTAAATTTTCAAAATCTGAATTTTTTAATTTTTTTACTAATAAGAAATGAAAAATATTAATGGTCAAACTTGTGAGTTGGCAAGAGTGAAAATTGGATAATTTTTGGTATAATTTTCTTTATTTAAAAAATATTTTAAATATGACCATACCTCGGCCCAACTATCTTATTCATTCAGTTTCATTGAATGCACGTAGGCCTGTCAATGGGTCGGGTCCAGACCCAAACCCGACCGGATCGATATTTTTTTAACGGGTGTGGGTCTACATTTAATTCCATTACTCGGACCCGGATCTGGATCCGTTATTTAATGGGTCGGGTATGGTATATGTAGTTCCGACCCGTTTAGGACCCGACCCGTTAATATTTATCTATATATACATTAGTCAAATATACATATTACATTAGTTGCCGCCTACATTACGATTTAGTTTAATAAATCCGAAGAAGGATCCCTAGAGACCCTGTAGACCGTAGAGGATTCAAGAAAAAACCTGTTCAGTTTCCAAAACCATTTATTTTACTCTTTATTCTAACATTACGTATCTTGCAAATTATAAACCGACTCACAATTGTTGTGTTTGATTGAGTAATTATAGACAAGTAATTACAATTCATGTGCCATATTGTTGCCAGAAAAGTACTCGGTAGTAAGAGGTCCTGTTTTTTATTTAAGAAATTAGAATTGAATTTTTGTGAGACGGGTCGGGTGTACCCGGCCCGGTTCCAAGACCCAATCGGTATGGATCCGGGACATTAGTTCTAGACCCGCCGGGTATACGGGTCCGGGTCTGGTATACTACGTTCCGGCCCGTACCCGACCCGTTGACAAGTCTAAATGGACGCATGCAACGATGCACTCATACATACATTTTGTACTTGTATAATTTTCTTTATTAAAAAGTATTTTAAATATAATTTCTTTACGATTGAGCATATTCAGTGCGTCTACTGAAATTTACACCAACTTTAGAAAATTCAGATAATGTCATGTTATCACGCAGGCTCCAAATTAGTTTTAGATATATATTTAGATACTCCTAAATATTTTCTTAAATTTAATAAATATACAAAGAGGTTTTTTTAAAGATATTACTAAAATAAAACTTATTTACACAAATATAACCAATAGTTACTACAATGTACGTAGTGATATAGTAACTCAAATTAAAAAATTGAACATAAGTTACTATAATTTCATTACTACTCTAATTGCTAGTCACTTTTTCATAAGCAATCTTTATTTTAGTAAAAAATATGTAATTCATAAGAGATTAGAATAAAAAAGTGAGTCAAATGCATAGTATTATACGGAGCATTATATTGAGACAAATATAGTATCTAAATAATTTTTTATGGACCGTTAAGGCTATAAAATCATCTCTACCCGTCGATCATGGAAACAAATTAAAACCTCAAAACTGATGCATTATCCTGCCCAGCTTCACCGGGCAATAACCTAAAAAATCCCACCCCTCCATTTCCTCCGCCGTCAACGGCACCACCAGTCCGGCCACCACCATGGACGTCGAGAAAATTTTCCACATGAACGGAGGAGTCGGCCAAACTAGCTACTCCAAGAACTCTTCCCTTCAAGTATATATTACCTCTCTATTTCAGTTATTCTATTTCTCATTTTACATCAAACACACATGAATATGTGTGTATATATGTAGAGAACTTTTGTCATACATATAGGTGTTTTCCGGCCGCCTCCATTTGAAGCGTTTCGCCGGAATTTTTGGATTAAATTTTGCTAGCATGTTGTTCATAAAATCTTCATTATGTCCACAAAATTTCATCTTAAAGCTCAATCAAATGTTAGTTAAATAAATTAATGAAAAAAATTGCGTTTTAAATACATATGTTGGCGCAATGTTTTTCCATAATTTATTTGATTGATTTTTCGATTGAATTTTAAGTTAAAATTTTGTTGACATAATCTACATTTCACGAAAAACGTTTTCAGAAAATATTATCAAAAAAATCCATCTCGAAGCATCTCAAATGGAGGTGGATGATATGGCTTCTGGTGTGTTGGGGTAATGTATAAGAGAAGTTCTCTTTGTATATTCCATTACAAAAAGAATACGAGATGGACATGAATTTGATACGAATTAACCGATAATTTTGTATAGAATAACTCGTGTCAAAATGTTTTTGAACAGATTTGATATAACTTCTTAAACCCTCTGAATTTTGGCGAGTTGCTTGTACGTAGTATGTTTTTTTGTAGTGTTCCTAGCAGGAGTCTATGGTAATACGAGTAAATGTTAATTACATTTTTGGGTTGACACGTGACAGAAGAAGGCATCGGAGAAGGTGAAACACGTGACTCTAGAGAGCATAGAAGAAGTTTATGTAACAGCAACTCCCACAAGCTTGGGCATTGCCGACTTAGGATGCTCCACGGGACCAAACGCTCTCTCCAACGTTAAAGAAATCGTGGAAACGGTCGGGAGGACGAGCTCGGCGCTCCGGCTCCCGGAGCCGGAGTTCCGAGTATACCTTAACGACCTTCCCACCAACGATTTCAACGCCATTTTCCAGGCCTTGCCGGAGTTTCATGACCAGCTGAAAAAGGAAAGGGGCGGAAGAGGAGGGCCTTCCATATACGTGGCGGCTTACCCTGGCACGTTTTACGGGAGACTTTTCCCAGAAAATAGCTTGCACTTTATTTATTCCTCCAACAGCTTGCACTGGCTTTCCAAGGTTATCTGTTTAACTTTCTTAATCAATTCCTTTTCTCCCGCCCCACATACAGTTATGATACGAAAAGTTTTGTTTATATAGTGTGATTTGACATGTGCTTACCACAATTCAAAAAGGAACAACTATGCTAGTTGTACTATTCTTATACCGTTAAATTCGCACACCGGAAACTTGTTAAAGAATAAAGTCTTATATTAAGACATGGGCTACTCCACCTATCAAGTTGACCTTTTAGGATTAAATCCATAATCATGGTGTGGGCCTTTTATGAAAAATTGACGACACAATTATAAAAAAATTACAATGACGAACCGACGAAAAAATGAATGATGGCACGATCCTGATGATGTGTCTGGTCGTGAGGAGGGGTGTTAAATTCCCACACCGGAAACTTGTAAAGGAATAAAGTGATATATTAAGACATGTGCTACTCCTTCTATCAGGTTGACCTTTTAAGATGGAATCCCAGATCTTAACATATACTCACTCTTATACTCATTTTTATAAGAGACAATTTTTTTGTTTGTAAATCCCAAAACTGATGTTTTTATCTATGAAATAGGTCTTTATCCCAAAAACATGTCTGTTTTGTCTGTGAACGGGTGAGTATAAGAGGATGAGGTATAAGGGTATAACCTCTCATAGGAGTGGGTATAAGAGTGAGTATAAGAGGATGGAATGGGTACAAACAACATTTCTCAAACACAAAATGCCCACCAACATGTACGTCGTACAATCCGACCCAATAAAATGGTAGATAGATCATAGATAATAATAATAGAATAATTTCAAACAGTTTCTGAAAGAAGTAATATGGTGTATAGTTTATACTCCCTCCCTCCGTCCTTTAAAGCTTTGTCATATTTCCTTTTTGGGACGTCCCAAAAAACTTTGTCACTTTCCTTTTTAATAAATTATTTTGTGGTTTCTGTTATTTCTCTCTCCTCTGCACAAACCTTAACCACACAATTTTTACTTTATTATTCTCCGTGTCGGTCAACTTTGGCAAAGTTTTAAGGGACGGAGTTGTATAATAAAGAGCCACTCATTAGGTGGAATTCTCATACCGTCATTGGTGGGGTTCGATTTTGAGATATCAATTCAACCACCTCGTTGAGCACCCGTTAAGCTACCCGTAAGGGTTTGACGTGTAAAAAGCACCCCCGGTGCTCATTAACGTACACTCAATACGATGCTCTTCATAAAGGTCCATAAAGAGCAAGTCTTCGGTTGTTATTTTTACAAGACGCGGCTCAGTGGCTTTCAAAATCTGAACTCATGACCTCTCGATCATATAGCAACACCGTAAGGGGGTGCACTGGCAGCATCTTTAATGATAAAATATGCACGATGCACATGTGACATGAGAGAGTCACATAAATATTCGAAAATAAATTATCTCCCTCCTTATTTAAATGATTGTATACAATTTTAGTAAGTTTTTCCTTGCAATGTCAACACAATGTCAACATCTAGATGGTTTTCTTGACATTATGGAGAAAAACTTATCAAAAATGTATAAAACCATTCAAACAATGAAAGAAAGAATTTATTTACTAATATATGTGTGACTATCTCTCATGTCACATGTGCACCGTGCACGTTGTATCATTGTAGATGCTCTAAGACTCCATTTGGTTTGACACGTGTAATGTGTTTATAGATCGTGTTTTGTCATACAAAAATGAATTGCCCGTGTCGCAAACTTTTAAGGAGATTTCTATGGTACCTCTTAAAATTAAGAGTGTACCGTACTTAGTTCCTTGCTCAGTCAATACCACTCTGACATGCATAATATTAAAACGTGTAGCCAAAAGTGGGGCAATTTGCCATTTGTCCATATAATCAAATGCACCTTACCTTTCAAATTTTCAGAGGCACCATAGAAAGAACGTACTTTTAATTAGAAATTCAAACCGACATGTACACGAACCATTTTTGTTAGGAAATTACTTCAAATAAGAGTATAACATGCATGGTTAAATTTTCAATCACTAACTATTCCTTCACTGTTAGATTTATTAGGTCACGAATTTCTTCTCCATCTACACAAGAACGGAGTCAGACTATAATATCCCTTGTGTCAACAAATTAAAGTAATGGTTTTTAAGAATTAAAGTAATGTTATAAATACAATAATTCCTAAACTAAATGTTATAGAGCGCTTCAATTATAAAGTCTATGTTATGTTTCTCATTGTGTAAATTTAGAATATAGACATATAGTGTATGAATATTTTTACTTGGATTGTAATTTGTTGGTCTAGTCTGGTCTGGTCTAGTTTTTTTAAGTCCGGTCTAGTCTGGTCTGTTTAAGTCTGGTCTGGTCTGGTCTGAATTGGTCTGGTCTGATAAACGTCTGATCTCTGTGTATTTTGTAACTACGGAAGTTAATTCTGGTCTGGGCTATTTAAAATCTGGTCTGATCTAGTTTGTTCAAGTCTAGTTTGATCTGGTCTGGTCTGTCTATTTAAGTCTGGTCTGATCTGAGACTGGAAACAATCCAAGTAAAAACATCTAATGAAAATATGTATTTTGAAATAATATACAAAATCATACACTAAGAGAAAAAAGTTCACCCTAAGACACAAAATTTGGATCTGCCCCTTACTATCAACTCTGGTTGTTCTTCTCAAATTTAAAATATTGTTCTATATTTTTTGACTAATCAATCTTATCATCCAACTTTTTAGCACATATGTAAGTTATTCTGTATTTCATTACTAAAATATGGAGTGTATTTTATAAATAATTATTTTCACAATTGAGTAAATTCGACCGTCTCCATCTTAATTTCATCAATTTCAATGAATTGAATCTATTCAACTCTTACTTTTTCTAGATTTACTCCGTACTTCTTAGGAGCTGCTACCTATCTCCTAAAACTTTGTCAAGTTTGAATGACACAGGGATTAATAAAGTAAAAACTGTGTGGTTGAGATTTGTAAACGATTAACTAAAATCACACATTCTTTACTCAAATGAGAAAGTGACAAAATTAATTGAACATGTCTGATGAGAAAGTGAGAAAGTATATTTCAATCATTTAAGAATAGTGATGGATGTCTGATGGCCGTACATGTATAGGTTCCACCAGGGCTATATGATTCTGAGGGGAGGACAATAAACAAAGGAAGCATATACATATGTGAAGGGAGCCCCCCCGAGGTGGCCCAAGCCTATGTTGACCAGTTTTATTTGGACTTCCCATTGTTCCTTGGTTTGCGGTCAGCAGAGCTTATCGTGGGAGGGAAAATGGTGTTGATTTTTCTTGGGAGAGAAAGTCATCTTCACCTTGATAGAGGGAATTCTTTCTTGTGGGAACTCCTTGTCAGGTCATTCTCCACTTTAATATCCAAGGTAATCTCAATATAACTAATCTCAATACAACCAATATAACTATTATAATTTTTGTTGAAATTATTATATCAAATTTTTGTATTAAGATCAGAAGTTTCATCCTAAAAGATTAACTTGATAGAAGTACTAGTTTAAAGTTTTATACACTTTTTAAATGTAAAATACACTTTTTTGTTCCTTCACTTGGTAATAATTATTGTCCCACTACTATTGTATTTCTCCACATACAATCCCAATTTGTTTACAAGTTATTTTAAATGTAAAAACTGTAGTAAAAACTCACGGTTAGGGTTAGCAAAACAATAATGACGTCCTAAGCTAGTTTCCATTAATTAAATCATTTGTTTGAGAAATGTGAACCGCTAAACTAAGGATCAAACGGACAGAATGAAGTGGATCAACAGATGAGGTATGCAAGTGGTTATGTACGATGAACAGAAGCTCAGCTCATTAAGAGAAATTGTAGGCTAGACTGGCATGGGTTCGACAAGTCTATATATGGATAACGTCATAGACTATCTATCTGAAATTATTCTCCTACAATTAGCTGTATCTCACTCGTCATATAGTTGTTGGAATTTCCATTCATGGTCTTATGTTTTTTTATGGATAATGATATACCCAAGTAGTTAGAGAACAATTTTGTTCAACATCACATGGCAATGCATTAAAATTATCCAATTAGTATTATTTTTTATTCTTAGTTCAATTTTTAAAAAAAATATATCAATATTTTTAATTTTTTTCTTTCACGTGATACTAAAATTACATATATAATATTAAAAAAACGGTTAATAAAAAGATTTAAGAACAAAAAAAATCTCAATGTTTTATATGCAATATGGATACCATTACACAAAACTAAACAGATCCCTGTTGTATCTCACTTCCAAATAGATTGGGAATCTCTGAACATCATGATGAAGGATAAAATTTGAAAGATCATAAATGTTATTAAATCTGATATATTTTTTGTGAAAATTAAATTATGCATAAAAAGTTATAATACATAATAATTTTAAGGAAAAAAAAGATTTGTAATGTCAAATGGTAAGTGTGGAGAGGAGGGGGTCATGTTCGCCCTCTGAAGGGTGAACAAAATTGAATTCAAGTAGTTAGGTTATACACCTTTTAAATATGCATCATTTTTTCCAAGACTAGTGGGTGAACAAAATTATATGACTAATAATTGATTTAGTCATAACTTACAAGACTAGTGGGTGTTTGGATCTGCTTGTTGAAACTGTTTCTCCTTTAGGAAGCAGAAAGAGATATTGGAGTGTTTGGGTGAAAGTGCAGAAATACTTCTGGGTGCTCCATATTACTCCTAGAAGCAGCTTTTTGAAGTTAGATCGAGAAGACCAGCTTTAAAAAGGGAAACAAAAACGGAATCATTTTCACACACCCTAAGTACACAATATTCAAAGTTGAGGTAGTTTTAGAAACTGTTTGAAAATTAAAATCTCTTTTTTTGAAAACTACTATGAGTAGCTCGATAGCTTCCCATAAAGACCTAAGTCCGTGTTAACATCAAACATGCAGTTAGCTTTTACCAAACAATTAACTACGACGTTCTCCTTTCAAGATCTTTTGACTCCCTAAAACCTAACAAATACTAAAAAATAAAGTTCAAAGAATATGTACTCTCTCAGTCCCGAATTGTAAGGCATTTTACGGTTTACGATGTTTGATCGACGATAAAGTAAACGGATCTTTGTCCTCACTCGATCAAATTATTTTTAGAAAAAAATTACATATTCAGAAACTATATTAAAAGTTTTACAAACTCTCAAAAACCAGAATCAAATTTGATAAAAATTTGGTATATAAAGTAAGAGATTAAGAGTGATTTGTGTTGATCAAGTTAATAGGGAAAATATCTTACAAAATGAGACAGAGGAAGTAATATATTTGCACTTAGATGTGTCAAACATGAACATAGTATATTGTTGGGTTTCATAGGCTTATTAGAAATACACCTCATTTTCGTAATTATGGTGGAGGAAGATATCTTGATAAGATGATTTAATTAACTTGTTTGACCATAGGGAGAAGTTGAGGAGGAGAAAGTGGACTCTTATGATGTTCATTTCTATGCCCCATCAAAAGAAGAGGTTGAGGATGCAGTGAAGAGGGAAGGTTCATTTGCACTGGAGAAGCTAGAAATGTTTGAAACAGAAAAGGAAGTAGGGGATGTTGGGAAGATGAGCTATGGAAGGAGAGTTGCTATGGCAGTTAGGGCAGTTCAAGAATCAATGTTGACTCACCATTTTGGGGAAGCAATACTGGAGACTTTGTTTGAGGAGTATGGGAGATTGATGGATCTTGAAATGGCTAAGCAAGAGATCCGACCAATTACTTTTGTTGTTGTACTTCGGAAACTTTGATCACTTCAGCCAAGCTTCTTTCGTGCCACCATTATTTACATTCTGCGAGATAACTATCCATCGGTCAATTCTGAGGACCTTTAGGAATGGAATGTCATCCTTTCGTGTCACCATTTGGCTTCTAATCAGAACAAATAAACCAGATTCCTCTTGTCTTATATGTAATATTTTGCATAAATTTCATGAATGTCTTCATATTTAAAATAAACCAATATACTTGAACATTATTGGAGTCACATATATATAATCATTAATCAAGTGTACTTTGCCATCATTTCTAATGGAGCCATTGATCACTATTTTTTGGTTTGGAATTATCATGGAATAAAGCAAAGTGGTTCAATTCACTAAAGTGTCTGCGCTTTTTTATTATGAAGCAACAGTCGTTCGATACAATTTTCATCGCAGGTGGGAGGGAGCCTTCACGGCAGTAGAGTAATATGTTGGAAAATATTCCATTTAAGTGCTCTTGGACCATTTATATAATTCAATAAATATTGGGAACATTTATGTCTTACCATTAAATTTGCCATATGACAGACTTGGTCCCTAGATTTATGTATAGTTAACATATGATGAGTATGTTTTAACATTAAATACTACATAAGGAGCCAAATAGGTTTCTCTTTGATACAAACTAATATACCCGTCCGTTCCAACACTTACGATTAGAAAGAATGGAGGCATCGTTTCTTCTGAGGGGTCTCAAGAACACCATATTAAGAGATCAAGGAGATTAACTTGTCATTTAAGAAAATGATAACTTGTTTCTGAGACATTCAAAATAGAAAAGTGGAAAATTTATTACGGGACGGAGCCACGGAGGGAGTACTTACAAAGTATCAAGCGGAGTCGTGGAGATGTCACTTTAGTATGATCGAGTCATTGTATCTTGTTTTCGAGCCGATTAAAGTCTTCTTTAAACTTTTTATTTGGGGAGTTATTATTAAAAGAAAGGGTCTTCCACTGAAAAATAATAAGAACAATAATGAGAGCAAGCAGATAGAGAGCTATTTGATGACTATATTTTTCGCTTTATCAGCCTTCTTTTTATTCATTAAGTACATAATTTTGTATTTTGCGCACTGAATTGTGTAATAATAATAAAATGTAAGGTTGAAGTTACTTTTCTGACTGTATTTACTAGTTATTGCAGAGGATCATTTTAGCTATTTTTCATATACCTTTTTCTTTATTTTACTAATAAAATAAATTTTAAATATTTTTTCTCATAAATAAGCAGAATCAACCAAACCCGCTACTTCAACCAAAACTTCATAAATTTCAGCAAAATCAGCAGATTCAGCCGATTTTATTATTATCAAACGGGCTCAAAGTGAACGTCAGAAAACTTGGACCTAAATTCCTCATCCCGTTTTTTCAGCAGCTACAAAGCATCTGAGTCAATGTTTTGGACGGTGTAGATCAAATTTTGAGGACCTGAGGTTAGGTTTCACTAGTCTAAAGAGTAGTGAATTTTCTGGCGATATGTTTCTTATCTTTGCTCTATTTTGATTCTATAAACCTTGTGACCTTGATATGCTTACTTCCAATGATATGATAATTTTGTATGTCTTTAGTGTTATCTGATCTAGAGTAGATTTAAGCGTCCAAGAAGATCCCGTGAATTTTTCACACTAAAACTTAGGTGTTTTGGTGTTGTTGTTAATACTCATTGTATACTCGTTGTATATTAGTTTACCCTATGTAGAAAGATACTATGCAAAAATATTTAACTGTGTTGGTGCGTTAGTGCGTAGACCTTCCACTAACAACACAATACCACAACATCTAGTTTGACCAAAATCAAAACACACACCCCTACGTCAAAATGCGTCCTAACCATAAAGCACTTTTGTGAAATTTTCCCTTTTTTACATGAATATAATATATTTTAATTTTTTATATTTACTTAACCACACTTTAATTTTTGCCCCTCCCCTCAAGTATAATTATCCTTATCTTGGGATGGATAAATTCTCTTCCATAGAACACATAAGTTTGAAAGTCAAGTACACTTTGTTTTGTGTGTAATTTTTGTTACTTATTGACTCTTTTTGGAGTGTATAAGTTTACTATCACATGTGTCCTTCATGTAGAATAGTCACACGTGTCCTTCATGCACACTTGTATGTAATGAGGAGGAGTTATTACTTGACTTGAATCTTCTTATACATTTTAATTGATCAAATTACACAGATGCATAAAATGTATTTTAAGGATAGCGTATCCGGGATACCGCTGAAGGGTATTGATAACCGCTTACGCGGCGTTGTAGTAAAACGAAGTCTAACCTTTCGGTTTTTCCCCGAGTATCGTGTCTCCGAGGAACGGCGGATGAATTTTCTTAATTTAGTCTTAGTCACGGGCTATCGCTAATCGTTGGAAGCTTTTTCAATACAAAAAGGATGATTGTGTTCTAAATTAAGCCAAATTGCAAAATTACAACTAGGAGCAAAATTCAACTAAAGATGAAGGTTTAAAGATCAAATATTCTAAAGATTAATGAAAAGATTAAGACAAATAAGGGCAATGAATTGAGTAATTAGAAATGGATATATTCTTGGACCTAGTAATTAGGGGAATTAAAACTAAAATTGAACTAATAATTTCTTTTCTCATAGACAAGAATAGAAATTACTTTCATTAATTTATCCTATTTCTAGGTTTCATTAATGTATTCAAAAATGGTTGGCTTGAATTAAATTCTAATCTCATAGACAAGATAGAAATAATTCTCCAATATTTTAATTAACAAAAATAGCCAAATTCATTAACTAATTAAACTCATTATTTAAGCAATTTGAATTTAATTCTCATAGACAAGATGTAAATCTCTTTCATTAAAATTTCCTATTTCTAGGCCTTATTAATGTGCTTGAATATGTTTGGCTCAAATTATTTTCTAATCTCATAGACAAGTTAGAAATAATTTTCCAAAATTTAATTATCGAAAATGGCTAACAATTATTAATTACTATTTCATCAATTTAAATAACTAGTCCAATTCATTAATTTTAACCCCTAATTTTCTGCTAACAAGTCAATCCATATTCCTTTAGTCAATTCATGCCCAAAACAAATTTAGCTACTAAACATTATTTTTGCATTCAACAATATAGTAAATAATTTAAACATTAACAAGGAACTAAACATTTATAATAGAAAAAATTCAAAAAAAAAAGATTATGTAAAAATAAACTTTCTGAACTAAAATATGATCTACTGTAATTTTTTCCGAATTTTCTAACCTAAAATCAAATTTTACCAACTAATTGATAATTTTCCCAATATTAACTAGATAATACAAAAAGCAACTAGAAATATTCTAAATTCGTTTTAAATTTTTTATTGATTACTGGGGATGATATTGCAGTGGAATAAACTGGAATTAGGACCGAAATTATTTTTTTCCTATTTTTAAGTAATTAATTTAATTTATGCAATAATAACAACTAGTTACCAAAATTAATTAGAAATTACTTGTGCTTTGTGAAAATTAACTTTCTTTAGATAAATAACAATCTTGAGTCTAGTAAACCACTATATCATTAATTGGAATGAATTCAACATCAAAAACTATTTTATTTAATTTTTGGAAGAAAATGCGAAATACTTGATAAATATTCTGGAAATTTTGGAAGAACAGATCGAACAAACAAGTTGTATGTTCAGATTCTACAGATCGAGAGGATGAAAATGCATATATAGAACTTACAATTTGAAGCTAAAATGAAGAAGATACGGAAGATTGAAGTTTCTCTCTCCCAAATTCCTTGGAAGCTGCGGAAATGGTGAAGAATTGGAGGTTTTCGAACGGAATTAGGGTTGGAAATGATGTGTTTGAGTTCAGAAAAAATCGGGCTATTTATAGGACAAAATTTCCCGTAGGCGGTCTGGAGGACGGCCGCCCTTCGTGCAACGCCGGCCGCCTGCCGTCTTTTCACCGGCAAATCAATGTGCCTCGCGTAACTTCGCCGCAGGCGGTCACGGAAGGCGGCCGCCTGCCGTTTCTGTCTGGCAGCCTGCTGTCATTTCACACCGACCGGTCGTTGGCTCCGTCGTTTTGTGTCGTAGGCGGTCACCGAGGGCGGGCGCCCTTCGTTGAGTGTCGGCAGCCTTCGGTCTTTTCCGGTTCCGGTCAAAGTCGTAATTTTGACTTTCCAAATAAGCCATAGGTGGCCTGGAGGGCTGTCACATTTTGGCCGCCTGTTTGACCGTCTGTGAGATTATTTGTCTGGCTTGTTCTGTATTTTCTGCTCTTCAAGATTGTCTTCTGGATCACTTTGATATTCTGCTTCCTTCTTTTGATATGGATTTACTCCGTATTTGTTATTCAAATTAACTCATTTTGTGCTCAATTGGCCCGAAATTTCACCAAACATATTATGAATGTAATTTTCACCTGAATTCATGAAACTTAAACCAAAATATCCAAAACATGCCTTGTTTTTTTGTTTTCTATACAAAAATCGCTTAATTTTGATAAGAAAAATAAGTACAAAAATGGACTTATCAGGTATCTGGAGAGAAGTCAGAACAAGTAAGAGAGAGAGAGTAGGTGTGTATTAAATAAGCTCAAAAGTTTTTCGTTTACAATGGAAGAGTGGCTGCTATTTATAGCAGCCATAAATGTTAGGCGCATTTAATGCGAGTACACGTGTCAAGCAATCAACGGTGGAGGGTCAACTCAACCAGGTTGGCGCCGACATAGCATGTGGCACCACATTTAATGTGGTGGTTGGACATGACATCACATTTAATGCGGTGATCCAGAGCGTGCAGGGAAGAGATCTGGTCAGGGTAGTGCCTTCGGCTGCACGTACCTGAGGACCTTCATGTGCCGAAGGTCGTACGTACCCAGAGGACGTCATGTCCTGAAAGTCATACGTACCAGGGGACCGTCATGTGCCGAAGGCTGTACGTGACGGGGGCCTTCATATGCTGAAGACCGTACGTACCCGGGGGCCATCATGTGCTGATGGTTGTAAATGCCGAAGGCTCTTAATTTTAGCCTTGATTCCGAGTTGTGTTTCAGGACCAGGTGTAACCGTTTTCCTGAGTATGAAGCTTTCGGTATTGGGCCGAAGGCAACACCTTGTGTAGTATGGACTGTCCAGAGTCTTGTAGTATACACCTTGTTTGGGCCACTTGGGCCTGTTGGGCCTGTTCGTAGTAGTGGAAGTATATGGGTCGGGGGTTCCTGGTCCATATACTTCATCAGGAGTCCCCCACTCCTTTTTCCGAGAGCTTCTCGAGGAAAATAGGAGTAATTGTCGTGATCCCGCCGGTGGCTTCCTTACTATAGCTAAGGAATAATAAAAATTTTCATGTTTGCGTGTTTT